TTGCTATTTGGTCATCTCCTTGTTGATTTGATGATAGAGTGTGTGTGTGTCTTCAAGTTTACTTATACATATATTTAGTTGTTCTAGCTAGTTACTTACTTATGACAGCTTTATTTTCGAATCTTTATTCTGATGGTGAGTTGTAAGCGTAATTCTTCATGTGGTTCTATTTCAAAATTTTTGCGACATTCCAAATACCAGCTAGAGTTGTCTGATACCTTTGGGTGACTAGGTCTAGAGGATAGCCACGTTTACTTCTTACTTCCGTGTAGGTACTCTATTCGAATTCCTAGTTTAGAAGTTCGAGGCTAGAGATCTCAAATAATGAAAGTGGGAGTTGTCCACTGCTGCACGTCCTGAAGGTCCTCTCCAAATATTTGATCTTTGAGAGGTAAGCAATGAAGTAGTAAGAAGGTTGGAATAGCCCTTTGCCTATCTCTCAATACATATATTTGCGGCCAACATTAGAGTGAGAGAACAGGAGAGATCCGTGAGATTTTCTTGCCCTTACTAGCGCTATCTCACTCAGGGTTAGAGTGAGAGATATGGGAGATCCAATAGATTTTTTGCCCTTACTAGCGGTATCTCATTCTGGAATCAATTGAATGTTGCAAAGCCCATTCCAAACCTTCTTTCTACTTCATTGGAGGTAAGCGGGAGTTCCTTTCACCTTCCCTTTGGGTATCTTGATATACCAACAACATCAACATCTCCATTGATTCCTAGGAAAACGTTTTCTAATCTTCCCACAACCAGTATTGCTACTTCTCCATTAGGTATTAGGTACTTGCTTATTGCGTTGACACGTCGCGTATTCTCTAAGCGACATGCGACATCCTCTGCTTAGCAGTCAACATATTTTTCTGCAACCCCATGACGTCCGGTTTGTTGTCTTCTGATAGTTCTTACGAATCCGAACTTTTAGTCTACTGATATTCCAGATTATTTTTTTGCATTATATTCTTGCGTAGGTATCTTCCAGTGAACTTCATAAATCCCTTGAAACTTTATTGCGATAAGTGACAAGATTAATAGAAAGACACCCTCGACACCGTTCCCTTCAAAGCTCATGACATTTTCTATCCACTTTTTGTTATCCGCCAATAAGCTCCCTTACCTGGCGGGTAATAACTAATAATAGCTTTGTTGGAAACGCGTCAAGGACTGGCACGGGAAGGCGGGGTCCACTACTCAGTTGGTCGATTTCCAAACAGGGACTCTTATGTGCCTGATTTCACGTTGGTCATTACCTGAAAAAACTTTCTAACAATTTTCATTGCCAACGAAAGCTCAGACCAATCAGTGTAGTTCAACGCCGGTAGGGGTATTTGCCCTAGGAGTAGTTGTTTCTGACTGGTCAACGAAGTTTAATAATAGCTTTGTTCCAACAATGGTTTCAACCCAACACCTCAAGAAACCGTACAATGAACCGTCGCGATTTTGCGCAAAGCCAAAAATTTGTGCGTAGATCTCGAAATTCGTATACGGAGTGGTTTCGAAATCGTTGATGGGACGGCTTTAGACGTGTTGGAACAAACCTATTATGAAAGTCACCTAACAGAACATCCCTCTCTTCTCAAGATAACAAAGAAACTGAATTCTTACAATAATAATAAGAATAACTAATCTAATACTACACCTAGGAAACTATAGTCATAGTCTTTAAGATAATAGGGTTTTTTATTATCCCTAGAAGGTCTTCTGTTCACAGAAGGTTGAGTTATTAGCTGAAATGTCTCTTAATAGGTACACGTTCACTTATTTCAATATTATTTTGTTGATTAGTATCATTATTACCTAAACTATCGCTTAACCAAACTTATCGTTTTCATAGTCTTTTGAATCCATTATCAACAATACTACTATTGGTTGCTGTCGTTGCTGATGAAGGTGATTTGGATAACTGCGATTTATAATATGGTGCTGGAATCAAGTGCCACCTGTTTCTTCGATATTTACCATAATTGATTTCGATTAGATAAGAACGTGGTTCATCTAAAACAGCTACAACTACTATGCCATATTCTCTTAGATCAGTTACTCAAACACTGTCCCCTATAGAAAGCTTAGAAAATTCTCCTGTTTGGTGTCTTTTATCATAACGCTTAGCTACTGTCTCCTTTGCTAAATTCTCTTTATCTGGTAAATTTTTGGTATTAACTGTTCTATTGAGTATGCTTGACAAAATTGGCAAATGAGACCTTAACTTTCGAGTTATGAGTAGTTCAGATGGGCTCAGTCCACATGCAAGAGGTGTTGTGCAATAAGCTAGCAAAGCTAATTCCAAGTCTTTGGAGTTTTGTTTTCAATAAACTTTTGGCTACTTTTGAAGCTGACTCTACTGCTCCGTTAGCAGCATTTTCAAAACGAATCTGGAATCCCATCTCTACTGAATAGTTGTTTAAGTCTGGATTCGGTCATAGTTTTAAGTTGAAAAATTTCAAAAAATCTTGAAAAATAGTCGGTCACAATAATGAGATCTATACCTAATTTCTGCCAGGGACGTCCAGGAAATTGTTCTTTGAGTAATGGTTCTCTAAATTCTACACATTCTGATTGAGCAATGTTTGACAAGGTTTTCAATTTGTGAAGAGAGACCAAACCACCATACAGATGCCTTTGCCTTGGCTCTGCATTTGATAACCCCTTGATGGCTAAACTCTAAACAAGTTTGGTGTAAACTTGGAGGGATAATAATTCTAAAATTTTTTATCAAAAGATTTTCTTGAAAGCCAATTTCAAAATGGTACGTGGTAGGGAAGAATTTCATCATGAAGTTGATGTTTTCTTGGGTTATCCTGATAAAGAGAACTCTGCAAGTTTCTTGCAAATTGGATATTTATAGCCTTTTCCAGCTTAATTTTCTCAAGAAATGGAGATTTAATTTGGACTGTCTGGAATTACCAAACTTACATGAGCATCTGCCTTATATACAGGCTCATCATCTTCAGGTTTCTGGAGATTTTTGGGAAAATTCCTGGTTCCTGGATAACGCATCTGGCACGGTAAGATCCTTTCCTGGATCATAGTAGATAACATAATCATAGCGCATGAGTCTTATTTTGAATCTTTGAAGCCTTAGAGTAAGCTCGTCTAGAGGTTTGGTTTGCAGCACCTGAACCAGAGGTTTGTGATCTGTTCCAAAGTTGACAGAAATGCCTGTGATATATTCTTCAAATTTATCTGCCGACCATACTAATGCCAAAGCCATGAACATTTCCCATATGAAGTAGCATCAGAGGATATTATAACCTGTTTTGACATCAACATGATCAACAAAAAATATTGGAAACCTTGTACTCGAGCTAAAATAGTTTCGACTTTTTCAATGGAAAAATATGGCCTTTGAACTGCCCCATATTTAAACGCGTATAATCTACGCATAACCTAATTTTCGAATTTTTATTCACCAAGACTATGGTATACTTACCCATGGAGTATAGTCATCAATTGGTTCAATTACATCTAATTTTTTTAATCTCTCTAATTCTTGTTTTCTTCTTCTTCTTCAAGTGCCTATCCTTTCCGGATATTGGCTATCAACATGGCTATTCTTACTTTGTTGATGGCGATTCGGAAAAGTTCTACTGTTGATTTGTTAAACCACGTTCTAAGATTTGCTAGCGAAGATATTCTCATTCAGCCAGGTGCTCTCCTGCTATTAATTTTGCCTTGTAGGATTTCCTGTAGCAGCCCGTATCTATTTGGGTTCCTCATTATGTGGCCGAAATACTGAAGTTTCCGACTTTTTATGGTATATAACAGTTCTAGCTCTTTATTCATCCGACGCATTACTTTTCTGTTGGTAATTTTTTGTTTACAAGATATTTTCAGTATTCTCCTGTACAGCCAGAGTTCGAACGCTTCTCTAGAAGCGTATTCTCCTGGCAGTCTCTTTAGTGAGTGTCCAAGTTCCCACGCCATACAGAAGGACCGGGAAAACGTAACAACGCAAGAGTCTCAGCTTCATGTCCAAGGATAGATTATGGCTTTTGAAAAGCGAGCTCATTTTAATAAACACAGAGCGGGCCTTTTCGATGCGACATCGTATTTCTTGAGAGTTGTCCCATCTCTCGTTAATGATTGTCCCCAAGTATGTGTACTGCCTTACTCTTTGTATTCTACTGTGATTGATGTAACTGTCTTCCGTGATGTTTCTTTTACTTACTATGAGGAGTTTGGTTTTGTTTATGTTCATTTCTAACCCGTACTATGAGCTAATTCTGGTCACCCTATCCATCAAACTTTGTAATCCTTGAAGACTATATGCAAACATAATGGTGTCATCTGCATATCTTATGTTATTAAATTTAGTACCGTTTATAGTGATTCCTTCCTCAATGTTGTCTAGTGCTTCTGATGAAAAGATGTATTCTGAGTACACATTAAATAAGATGGGCGACAAAACACAGCCTTGCCTCACTCCTCGTAGTATATTTATTTGTTCTGTGTGACTGCCATCAATTCTCAAAACTGCCGTCTGGTTCCAATATAAGTTTATAATTATGTTTAAATCTTTTTGGTTCATTCCTATTTGCTTCAGTATGTCGACCATTTTATCGTGTGGGACTCGATCAAATGCTTTTTTATAATCAATTAAGCAAGCATATACATCACAGCTGACATCCATACATCTCTGAAACAACACCTGAACACCAAATAGAGCTCCTCTTGTACCGACGGCGTTCACAAACCCAAACTGGTTCGGTGAAATTTGTTTTTCACAAAGTCTATATATTCTTTTGTGTATTATCTTGAGAAATAGCTTTAAGAGATGACGCATCAAACTTATTGTTCTAAAATCACCGCAGGTTTTGGCACTTGCTTTTTTCGGCAGTGTGATAAATTCTGACCTTAACCAATCCGCTAGAATTTCTTCTGTTAAGTAGATGTGGCTTCATTTCGGAAATGGCAGCTCTCACCTCGACCACAAGAATTTCCGGTCCCTCTCCTACAGCTGGTTTTTGTTCTTTGCGTACATCATGGAATAGATTTTCTAGTTATGTTTTCCAGGCCTCCTTCTTTTTCTCCGCGTCAATGATGATTTCTCCTGCTTCGTTGACCAAAGGTTTACAGTTGTTTTTGTGGCATTTCCTTGTTACTTCTCGGACTTTCCTGTGAACATTGAAGTCATCGTGCATGTTTTGATGGTGTTCGATCTCGCGACATTTTTCTTGTAGTTCTTTTCCTTTCGCTTTTCTTATTTCCTGTTTTATAATGCATTGTATACGTTTATATTCCATCGGATTTCCTTTATTTTGTCTTCTTTCTTCCATCAAGTTTAATATTTCTGTCGTCATCTAAAATTTTCTCTTTATTTTGTCCGGTTTCAATATTTCATTCTTTACTGTTTCTACTGCTTGCTTTAATTTGTTGAGTTCCATATCGACGTTGTTGTTTTCATTTGGTTGAATGTTGTCATTGAGCATTATTGCTGCTGCTTCCTCTATAGACTTATCTATTTTTACCTGTATGCGCGCGCAACATGAGGCAATGCATTTTTATTGGCTAACTAGTACAGGTGTAAAATAATCCTGCACGCTGGGCATCTCATTGTCCTTGTTCATTGCCCGTGGTCTGACAAGGATAAAAGTATGCTTGATATTCAACTTGACGCAGCTTGACAAGTGATCGATTTTCAATTGTTTGTGTTTTTGACTGACAGATAGGTTGCACGTCACGCGGTTTTCCTCCTTCCTTTATTATCCCGTGCAAATAATAAGAACGGATTGCTATACGTAAGTCTAACATAATTTGGTACGTTTTGCCTCGTCTTGCGCAATAAGCGTTCTGCGTCTTTTTCTATCTAATAAAGATTTTGTATTATTACCTCTTTGTCTGGTAAAATAGATATAGTCTGGCAAGTGGTAACTTGGTAGAGACGAAAGGGGGAAGAAAAATGGGGCATAACCTAAAAATATTCACTGACACCTGAACTGACGCCGCCTGATGACAGCCATGTCATTCGGTTCAGTGGCACCGAAAACACCAAGGAAATTAACCAGTAAAATTATTAGAAAAAAAATTCTCTAGTATCGCCAATCACCACGCCACTGCGTGCTGTCGTTCAGACGATAACCAATAGAATCATGCCTCTGAATAATCACGCCTCTCTACATTCATCATTCCGCAATGATGCCGGATTTTATTCTATTTCAAAATACTACACATCATTTAGCAAAAAAAAATATGTCACCAACTTGTTTATTATTGTTTCCGTCAAGTTTGGCAAAGCAGCAAATTCTATTGCAGTTCGCCGTTTCACTAGCCAGACAATAGGTCTATTGCTGGGGTTTTGAGTCTCTGAAGGTCATAGTTTGGAGTCATCTTAGTGTTGACCTTCTTCATTTTCACCTAAAATACACCAACCAAGGGACAGTGATCTAATCCAATGTCAGCTCCTGGATATGTTTTGAGGGATAGGCAGCTATTTCTAAACCTCTTATTGACTAACATAAAGTCAATTTGGTTTTTGACTATTCTTCCCGGTTCATTCATAGGTGCGTTCCACGTATATAATCTTCTTGGCGGCAGTTTGAACCAAAGTGTTCATTACTACGAGTTCATTTGTTACTGCAAAAACTTCAAGTGTGTCTCCTCTTTTGTTTCTTTCACCTAGTCCATCTTATCCTATAACGTCTGATGTATGACCTTCTCCCACTTTTGAGTTAAAATCGCCCATTACCATTGTGATATCATGCTTTTTCAGTCCTTTTAGTATAATATTATTGACTGTTGTGTACATAATTTTCCACTTCTTCATCTTCTTTATCCAGCGTGGGGGCGTATATTTGTATGATGTTCATGTCAAACGGTTCCGCTCTTATTTGGATGAGTGCTATTTTTTCTGATACGGGTATAAAGGCTTTCGCACACTGCGCTATTTTTTTGTTCAAGACAAAACCCACATCGTGTTCATGTCTTCCATTCGTAGTGCCTGAAAAGAGAACTCTATAATCCTCGATGATTATATCACCAGTGTCTGGCCATCCCATTTGACTTATTCCAAGGATATCTATCCTCATTCTTTTCATTTCCTTGATTGTATTATAAATTTTACCTTGCTGGCTCATTGTTTTTACATTCCAGGTTGCTATTCTTATTTCCTCTCTGGTGTCGATCGCTCTAACGTCTCTGCTTGTAACTGCCCCTCCCGGAGATCCGATTGAGGGACTTACTCCGGATGTTGATTTAGCTGCAAGCATAGCCATTTTGATTCTACTAGGACATATCCGTTTTGGATCTTTAATGAGGTGGGTGTCCAAAGTTCTTCATCCTTATGCCGTTGATAATTCTACTGTTCATCCGCCTTTGGAGCTGGTTTCCCAACTCCAGAACAAAAGAGTTCCCTTCCCTTCGCGACTCTTCTACCCGAAGCTGTTGGTCGACAAGGGTTTTGAAGTTATACCGCCTCGACTCGGTCGTCATAGCCTGGTTTGTTATCTAGCAGGATGTACCACGTGCAGGTGAGGTTGACATTTGGGTCGGTGTTTCTTTAAACACCGAAACCCCTTCCACACCAATTCTTGTTTTAGGGGGTCTAATAGAGGAATGGGGACTACTCTGGGAATACTCTGTGCGAAAGGTTGTTACCCATATTATGAAAAATTTCCATACTGGATATTCCGATCAGAGAAATGGTTTTGGTTGTCTGCATGTCCAACACCATCACCAACTTGAGCAACCTCAGCTCCATAATCGCTAACCGTCCTAATATGGATTTTGTTAATCCTTTCAAAAACAAATATATTTGTTAAACATATATCATTGTTTTCAACTAGGTAATTCTACAGCCAAAGTGACAAGAACATTTAATTCTATGCCCGATGGACCTGTTATTTTATTTTTAAAAGCACATAGATTTTTCAAAAAATTATGTTATTATTGTTAGCATTTCGTTTCTTTGTTTTCTTGAGAACATCTCTCATGTTCTGTTAGTTGAGTTTTATATTATTAGTTGCCAGGTGAGGGAGCTTGATGGATCCCTAATATTTAAAGAAACTGTAGCCAGAAAATCATTATTGTCGTTAATTTCACCATTTTCTAACTCTAAAGTTCTAACTCTATTATTACCAGTACTTCTACAGACTGTAGCCCAGTGACCCATATTTCTACACTTCCTGCAGGCTGATGTTTTCGCTGGACAGTTCTCTCTAGGATGGAGCCGCAAGCCGCACGTCTTCTTACCTTTCCCAATAACCAGCTTTCCCTTGCTGATCAAAACTTGTTTCATTGCAACGATTATAGTGGATACCTTGGCTATCTGTCTCTGCCGGCTTTCTTGAAATACCTAGCTCCTTACTTTGTTGATCTTAGACTGGCTTGTTTTGCTATCCTTACAGCATCTTCTAGTGTCGAATTAGCTTGTAATTGCATATTATTACTGGTCTTCAAATCAAGCATACCAACAACTAGCCGATCCCTTATAAGCTCATTTTTAAGTTTCCCATAATTACAAGTTTCAGCAAGGCTATATAATCTTGTGATAAACGTTTCAATTGATGCCCCTGGTTTCTGAACTCGGGAATTAAAGTTAAGACGTTCGAATATAACATTTTTTTTTGGTATGAAATGCTTTTCGAACTCATCCAACATCATCAGTATATCTTCAGAATCATCTCCCATTACATAAAAGCAAATTAATTTTCTCTGTATCACTCTTGCTGTTTTGCCCTGATATAGACAGACATGTATCTCTCAAATCTTTTTCGTTACTGTGGCCAAATATTTGAACATGAAAAATTGAGTTTATCTGGATGGGTTACATTTATGCCCAAATTTACCTATCCTTTACCACCGGGTGCTGGTATAAAATCTTCTCGATCGCTGGCACTACAGCCGCCATTATTACTATTTGCATCTGGTCTGCTGGTGCATTTGCCGAAATCTGACGGACAATCGATAGATAAAACCAGGAACTGCACGTCTCCTTACCACTTTCTTGGTGGATTAATTTTGTTTTGTTAGCTTCCTCTTCCAGGTATCGGATATATGAGGAGCCCATAGTCCTCTAGCATCCATGGATAGAATTCTGTAGTCTTGACCAACATTATAGTGGTCGGAATTTACCCTTTTCCCTCTACGCCTCTTCGTTACACTTCTAGTCCCTGCTTTGGATAGTCGCGGCTGATGGTATCCTTATTCTGATGAAGTTCGAGTTTTTCTGGTTTTGAAAGGGATGGACTGTGTAAGTCGACATTTCTTCCTCACTGGAGTGCCTTCTTGGACTGCCGCATCCATTTCCACATCAGAAACTAAGGTCTGGTCTCTGTGGCTGGGGTTTGTGACTTATTCCTCTACCGAAGCCCTCATTTCTTCCAATGAGCCTCCATCCTCTCTTCCATGTTATTCAATTTCTAACAAAAAATCGGACTACATCTCGAAAGTGCCTATCATATCAGTCAGCTGCGAGTCAATACTCATCAAATATTCACGCATCGCAGTGATCAAATTTGTGACTCAAAGTTATTGGAAATAAAAAAAACTGTACACGGTGATCTATTATAAATGTCTATCTCAGCCCTCAAAATGCTAGACAAAAAAAAATTACTCCACTAAACAGTCCCTATCTCACAGTCTAATAGACAAAGCGCACTAGCCTGATGAGTGATGATAACGCCAGAACTAAATTAAAATCTAGTTTTTTGTCTTTGGCAACAGTGGATTGTTTTTAAGAAGAACTGAATTGCTATAATAATATAATTTCTAATCTCGAGCCTTGTCTTTGTCTATAGAAAAATGAACTCGTCTAATGGGAAATACTACAAAGAGCAATAATCCTGAAGTCAAAAAAACTATGAGTACGTAATTGATTGATGTGATAAACGCTTCCCGAGTTACACTGCCCATATAAGACTTAAATGTGGTTCGCTAAAGGTACTACTGGGCGTACCGCACCGTTCCGCATTAATAATAACACCCAATTATTACATAACAAATCGAATGTCTGATGATTTGCTGATGGGCGGACATCATCCTCTATTTCCTAGCAGTGCAACGTGAAATATTTTCCCACAGAATACAGAGAGCCTTTCTTTTAACGTACTGTACTGGCCTGTAGAAAGTACGAATCGCGAATGTTCCGATATAGGTATAAGAAAATTAGGATTTACTGGTGTTTTTGATTTATTTTATGCAAGTTGTACCTTTAGGCGCCTGTCTTTGAAATGATGATTTGAAGGAATTGTTACGCCAGGTGTATTCATTGGAAAATGTTTCAACTATGTATTCTTCCCGTTTTACATAATTTCAAATATGTTGGAATATCTTTAAAGGA